GAATAGACGTACTGGTAGGAGGCCATCAGGCGCGCCCTTTACTTCTTCTGGTGGTTTCAGTGGTTCTGCGGCTGTCGGGCAGCGGGACCCGATCGGCGCGCATCCTAGAGCAAGTTGCGAAGGTATGGAATCGCTTCGCGAGTCGGCCGATCACAAGGAACACACTCTAAACGTCTGAATCCAGACCCGATTCCACGCGGTCGCAAGACCCAGGCAGCGGGTCCGACCGATTGCGGTCCGGTCCGGCGACGCGGGACCGGCCGTCAAGGCTAGGCGCGGCGCCGGCGATCCTTCGAACAGGGGGCTCTCAGCGGGGCGGTGCGATGCGGGTCGCCGCGTCGGGCGTTTTCCGGCAGAGACGGTAGGCCGCGAAGGCGGCGCCGATCACCGAGGGGCCCGGGCGATGCGCCAGGTAGCGCGGCTCCCACTCGGGCCGGAAGGTCGACTTGAACTGCCGCAGGCCCTGCAGGCTGTGGAAGCGCCCGCCGTGACGATAGATAGCGCCGCCCAGCCGCTCCACCGGACCCCCGCCGTCCTCGAGACCGCTCAGCGGGGCCATGCAGAGGTTGAAACGCCGGGCTCCGCCTGCCTTGGCCGCCAGGGCAGCCTCGGTCACCAGAGCATGCATCGTGCCGCCGGGCATGTCGCAGCGGGTGCGCATCACGTCCAGCGCCCATTCCGAGCCGTCGCCGCTGATCCAGAGACTGACGAAGGCGCAGGTCCGACCGTGCTGCCGGGCCTCGAAGATCGGAAAGCGCGCGAGGTAGTCGGGATCGAAGTGGCCTGTGGAGAAGCTGCGTTCGCGCCCTTGCTTGGCCGCGCGCCAGAGCCGCGCCACTTCCGCCAGCGCGTCCAGGGGCGCTTCGCCGGGGGCGTGCCGCAGGATCTCGATCCCGGCCTTCGCCGCCTGACGTGTCTTGCGGCGCAGCTCCCGCCGGCGAGAACCGGCGAGGTCGAAGGTCGGAAGTTCCAGGACGGCCTCGTGTCCGATCCGGGCCGTCCGCAGCCCTTGGGCGCGGCAGATGGCGGCGGTCTCGGCTCCGACCTTGTAGAACACCGGGGTGCGCGCGCCGATCTCGCCAGCGTGATCCTTCAGACCCGCGATCAGGGCCGGCCAGGCGCTGCGCGGCGCTACCGGATCGCCGAGCGCAACAAGCGTTCTGCCGCTTTGACCGAACATGACAAAGCCGGGCGCCTCCGCGGCGACGAGAAAGTGCTTGTCGCCCAGGAAAGCGAGATTGGCTTCGGCCCGGCTGCTTGTCTCGAATGCACGGGCGATCAGGGCGTCGTTCTCCGCTCCCGTGTTGTGCGGCCCGGACCCTCGCGAGGTGGCCGTTCGCTCCACGGAGCGTCTGACTGCAGGCCCGGCTTGCCGCTCGCGCCGTAGCCGCCGGCGCGTCCGCCTGTCGTCTCCGCTCAGCTCGGCCTGCGTGAGCAGCAGTACGCCGAGACAGAAGGGCAGGCCGTAGTAGAGCATGCGAAAGCAGAGGATGCCTGCCAGCAGGGACTCCATCGGCACCTGAGGCAGGGCAAGCAGAAAGACCCCTTCGAAGGCGCCCAGCCCGCCCGGCGTGTTGGCCAGCAGGCCCGCTACCAGGGCGGCCACGTAGGCGATCAGGATCACGCCGATCTCCGCCTCCAGGCCGCTGGGCAGGAAAACCCAGAGCGCCAGGCCCGCCGGAATCACGTCCAGCGCCGCCAATCCTGTCTGGCGCAGCATGTCTTTTCTGTTGGGCAGAACGATCCGGCGCCCGAAGAGCGACACTTCGATGCCGCCGAGCGAGAGAAACAGCCCATAGACCGCCAGGACCAGCAGGCCGATGGAAACGACCGCCAGGCGTGGCAGGCCGACGATGGCCGCGACAGAGGCGCTCGCGAAGAGCGTCATCACGGCGAAGACCACCAACAGACCGAGGAAGAAACCGGAGGCGACCAGGGCCGAGGCGGCCGCCGCTTCCTTGGGCGTGACACCTGCCGATCGCAGCATGCGCCAGCGGGCGAGTCCGCCGACCACCACCCCGAAGCCGAGTGCCTGACCCAGCGCGGTCGCCGTGAGACCGGACCGCAGAAGCACTCGCGCCGGCAGGTCCCGCCCGATCAGCCGGAAGGCGAGCAGGTCGTAGCCGGAGATGCCGAGGTAGCTGACGGCGGTCAAAACGACGCCGAGCAGAACCATCGGCAAGGGCACGCTGGCGACCTGACTCAAGGTCGCATCGAGGTCAAGTCCCTGGAAGCGGTCGCGCAGAAGATACAGAGCGAGCAGCAGGCAGAGCCCGGCGAGCGACGGTCTGATCAGGATTGCGAGCTTGTCGGCGTTCCACCTGGACGCGCGGTTTATGTAGAAGTCCGACAAGGGCGATCGCTCTCTCAAAACGCAGAGGCGACGAGGATGCCTGCGGAACCTTTCCCGGGTGTAAATTCTGAAAAATGTGACAGAAATTCTGGCGTTTGGAGAACAAATGAGACGAGCCTCGCCAGGAGCGGGTGTCTCGCGTTCCGTCAGCGGCCCTCACCTGCCGCAACGGTCATGCGGCCCTGCACGGGATCGCTCGCGGTTGCGCGCTTTCGACCTCTGCAAGAAGGCCTTTCGTATAAATGGCCGGAAGTTGGGGATCCGTTTGACTTCAGAATGTGAGCGGGAATAGCCGTCCCGACTGCGAGTATTACATTTTGTGGGTCGCGGTTGAGCGGTCTGGCGATGCGATTTCGTCACCCAAACACCACAGGGACAGCGGTAGTACCAAAGTCACTGCGGTGTCTTGGACCAGAGACTCGCCGCTTCCGGCCAGAACAGGTCTTATACGAAAGACGCCTCGCCGGAGGCCAGGCGACAGGGAGGACGGCTCGGCATGCTCTCCAAAGCGCGTATCAAGCGCCATCTTCTGCCGAACTCCTCACGGGCCTACCTGCGCCGCTACAACGAGGATTTCGCGCGGGAGACGGCGCCGGGCATGCGGGTTCTCGATGCCGGAGCCGGCGACCAGCCCTATCGGGCCTTCTTCGCCGACTGCACGTACGAGAGCGCCGACTTCGAACAGGTCGACAAGCCCTACGCGAAGTCCACCTACGTCTGCGACCTCTGCGACATTCCGGTCGAAGACGGGCGTTTCGACCGAGTGGTCTTCAATCAGGTCTTGGAGCATCTGCCGGACCCGCTCGCCGCGCTGCGAGAACTCGGCCGCACCCTGAAACCCGGCGGCAAGATGATCTGCACCTGCCCGCTGTTCTACGAGGAACACGAGGAGCCCTACGACTTCTACCGCTATACCCAGTTCGCCCACCGTCACATGTTCGAGAAGGCGGGCTTCGAGATCGATCGGTTGGAGTGGATGGAGGGCTACTTCGGCACCGTGGCCTATCAGTTTCAGGGCATGGCCAGCGCCCTGCCTGCCAGTCCGACGCATTACCTGCGCCGTCCCTGGTGGCCGGCTCTGGCCTGGCCACTGGTCGTGGCCGTGAAGGGCGCGGCCTTCCTGCTCGCCGGGCTGTTCTACCGGCTCGACACCGCCTGCAAGGTCACGACCGTCGGCTATCCGAAGAACTACGTGGTGATCGCGCGAAAGCGGACCGCCGAGGCAACGCCGGCGTGACGCCCGGCCGCGGCGGCCGGTTCGGACGCCGAGTCCTGCAAGCGATCTGAAAGGCCGCCAGGCAGAACCGCCGCGCCGCCGCCTGTCTTCCGATTTCAAATGGATCCCGCATGCAATCGCAGCGGCGTTCGAAGTCCCGGCGTCGGTGGCCTCGCTCCGGCGATAAAGGAGTCATTTACGGCTATTGAGCTAATTTGCGTGTTTCCTTGGATCCTGAGGCCGGTTTGTCGATGCGGGGCTGCGCCGCGGACCGCACGCAGGCCTTAGATAGGTCCTTGTCCAATTCGAGGCAGGAACTCGCCGTGATCAGATCTCTTCTTCTCGCCACTGCCGTGTTGCTTGGATGTGCCGGTACGGTCCAGGCCGAACCCGCGATCCGGGTCGTCGTGGACGACTGGCCGCCCTTCGGCGGCGAGAGCCTGCCCGAGGGCGGCATCTCCCTGGACGTCATCACGACCGTGCTGGAGCGTGCGGGCTACGACGTCACCACCGAGATCCTGCCCTTCGCGCGCATCCTGAACGGCGCGCAATCCGGTGTCTACGACGTCGTCGGCAACCTGTTCCTGGAGGAGGATCTGCAAGCCTACCTCACCTACAGCGATCCCTTCTACGAAACCGAGGTGCGTTTCGTTCGGCAGAAGGGACGCGACCATAGCTTCACCGATATCGAGAGTTTGCGGCCCTACACGATCGCGGTTGGAGAAGGGTATCTCTACGAAGAAGACTTCGATCATGCGGACAGTCTCAAGAAGGTGGTCGTCACAACCACGATTCAGGGTGTCCGCATGGTCGCGAGCGGCCGTGTCGACCTCACCCTGGACAGCACGGACGTGATCGACTACGCGATCAGGACCGAGGACCCGGCGCTCGCGGGGCAGATCGAGTACCTGCCCCGCGCCTTGACCGCCCAGCGCATTCACATGGCGGTCCGCAGCGACTTTCCCGGGCGCGACAGGCTGCTGGCCGACTTCAACAGAGTCCTTGCCGACATGCGCGCCGATGGTTCGCTCGACAGACTGCTCGCGAAGCACCGCAACTGACGAGAGGTCTTTCAGGTCCGTGACCCCGAGCCGCCCGATCGATGTAGACGACCGTTCGTTCGACGTGATGCGAGACGACCGATGTCGACCCTGACCCTCCTGCATCACGGAGAAAGGCAGACTGCGCAGCTTGGCCGGCGCATCGTCTTTCTCATCGTTTTCACCAGTGCCGTCTTGTCGGTCGTTGCGGCTGCCGCGCAGCTTTACCTGAGCTATCAGCGCGACCGCCACGAGGTCGTGACGTCCGTCGATCTTGTCGATCGAAGCCTTCGGGAGGGCTTCGAGAACGCGTTGTGGGAGTTCAACTTCGATCTTGTCCAGGCTCTGCTGGACGGTGTCTACAACAAGGCCGATGTCGAGTTCGTCGCGTTGGAGACCGTTACGGGACAGACCTGGAGCCAAGGGACCGCCTCGTCTCCCGATCTGATCCTGAAAACCCTGACCTTCCGGCATCAGAAGGGCGCGAGCGAGGCCGTCCCGCTCGGCGAGATGACAATCGGTCTCACCCTCGCCAATGCCAAGGAGCGGGTCTGGGCGCAGTTCTGGACCCTGCTGCTGTCGAACTTCGCGAAGGCCGCGGTCGCGTCGATCGTCATCCTGGCGATCTTCGATCATCTCGTCACCCGGCATCTCCGAAGCATCGCCGCCTACGTCGCCGGGTCGTCCTGGCTGGACCGTTCCGAGGCCCTGAAGCTGGAGCGGCGAGGTGCGGACGCCCACGACGATCTGGATTTCATCGTCACCGCAATCAACGAAGCGAAGCTGCGCAGTGCCGAGTCCTACAAAGCCATGCGGACGGAAATCGATCAGCGGCGTTTTGCGGAAGCGTCGCTTGCTCGAAAGGCGGAACATCTCGCGAGACTGAACGACCTGCTGGTTCAAACCAACCGCGAGCAGGCGGAGTTCACCTACGCCATCTCGCACGACTTGAAGTCCCCGACGAACACCGTCGGCATGCTGCTCGACGAACTGGTTCTCGCACACGCCGGCGCGCTCGACGCCGATGCCAGGCATCTGGTCGACAGGGCCCAGAAGACGGTCGCGCGCATGGGGCGGCTTGTCGAGGATGTCCTGAACTACTCCTGTACCGTCGAGGAGGAGTTCACCGCCGAGCCGGTCAATCTGAACCTCCTGGTTCTGGAGATTTTGGAAGACCTCCAGTCGGATATCAGGAAAGCCGGCGTGGATATCGACCTCGACGACCTTCCAATCGTTTCCGGCAATGCGCTACAGCTCCGCCTGCTTTTCCAGAATCTCATATCCAACGCGATCAAGTTCCGTTCTCCCGACAGATCGCCGAGGCTGACGATCCGCAGCGAGTACGACCAGAGCGCCGGCAAGCAGCGTATCGCCATCTCCGACAACGGCATTGGCATCGCACCGGAGTTTCACGAGCGTGTCTTCGGTCTCTTCCAGAGGCTGCATTCCTATGAGGCTTTTCCCGGGTCCGGCCTGGGCCTCACTCTCTGCCAACGCATCGTCACCAATCACGGCGGTCGCATCGATCTGCGCTCGGCACCCGGCGAAGGCACCACCTTTTCCTTCCACCTGCCGCGCTACCTGCCGGTCTGAGGAGATGTCATGAGTTGTCGTGCGAGTTTGGAGCGAACATCCGGAGACGGTGGGCCGGCAGCGCCGGCTAGGGGACTCAGGCCCAAGGGGATAGGGCTGAGGACGACGGGGCGCGAGACGAGGAGCAGAGGGGCATGACGCTTGCCAACCGCCAAACCATGATTTTAGACCCGACCGTTATGCTGGTGGACGACGACGAGACCGATCAGCTGATCTACAAACGCGTCATCGCGCGTGCCGGTGGTCTGGGCGAAGTGATCTCCTTCTACTATGCCGACGAAGCGCTGGACTTTCTGAAGCGGGACGACCGTCAGAGGGTCGATGTCATTTTTCTCGACATCAATCTGCCCCGCATGAATGGTTTCGAGTTTCTCGAGGCCGCGACGAAGGAACTGGGCGAGCGTTTCGCCGACGCCGTGATCGTCATGCTGACGACCTCGCTGAATCCGAACGACCGGGAGCGGGCCGGAGAGTTCGATGTGGTCAAGAGCTTCATCAACAAGCCCTTGACCGTCGATGACGTGAAGAACGTCGTCGAGATTCTGGATCACGAGCGAACAATATAAACCAGAACGCCTTCGGTCGGCCTCAACGCGTTGGCGCGATTGATCGCAGTCAGTCCCTTACGGCGCTGGGGCCTAGCATCTCCTGCAGCTTCTGGCGCGCGTAGAAAACGCGGGGCTGCCGCAACGCGGTCTTCGGCCAGGCGAGATAGAGCTTGTTGACCAGAGGCGCCCTCTGGCTGCTTAGAACCACCAGCTTGCGGGTGCGCAGGGACTCCGCGACCAGATAATCTGGCAACAGCGTCCAGCCGCTGCCGCCTTCGACCAGGGCGCGCAGGAACCGCAAATCGGGGACCACCACGACCGGGCGCAGACCGCTGGGGTCCAACCCCTCGCGTTCGATCAGACGGACGATCTGGCTCGGCTGTTCGTCGTAGGCCAGCGGCGGGTAGGCCAGAGCGGCTGCCAGGCTGCGCTCGCCGCCCGCGCCGGACGCCGTCAGACGCGCCGCCCAGGTGGGCGCGGCGACTGGGAGTAGCCGTTCCTCCTGGATCGCCTTGTAACCGATCTCCGGCGAGCGGGGCCGCGAGGCGGTGATCGCGAGATCGACTTCTCCAGCCTCCAGCGCACCGTAGATGACATCGCGCCCGCCGAGTGTGACGTGGGCCGAGAGTCCGAGGGCGGCCAGGGTGGCGATCGGCTCGATCATGCGGGCGTTCATGAACTCGGACGGGCCGGCGATGCGGATCGTGCCCTCGATAGCTTCGGCCCGGACGCGCAGCATGGCAAAGGTCGCCTCCAGTGCGTCGTAGCTGGCGCCGATGGCGGCGGCCAGCTCCTCACCCGCCGCCGTCATTCGTACGCCGCGGGCATGACGCTCGAACAGCGGGCGGCCGAGTTGATCCTCCAGGGTGCGGATATGGGCCGAGGCAGCGGGCTGTGTGATCCCCAGGGCCAGCGCGGCGCGGGAGACCGACCCGCTGCGGCAGGTCTCCAGGAAAGTGCGGAGCGGGATGAAGGGTGTCATCGCAAAGGTATAATAATATCTATAGCTGCGTGAGGCTATTCTTCTTTGATTTGATGGCTCTCCGACTCCACTGTCTTGTCAGGTCTTGAGGTGCCGCAACGCGCGGCGTCGGACCTCAGCTAGAGGAGCCTTCAGATGTCCAAGCGCGCGCTCATCGTTCTCACCTCCCACGCCAAACTGGGGGAAACCGACAAACCGACCGGGTTCTATTGGGAGGAATTGGCCGTTCCCTACTGGCGCTTGCGGGATGCCGGGCTGACGGTGGATCTGGCCAGCCTCGCCGGGGGCGCGGCGCCGGCCGATCCCGGTTCGGAAGCGGAAGAAGGCCGACCCGCAGCGGTTCAGCGCTTCCTGGATGACGCCGACGCGATGGCACAGCGGCAGGCGACCCTGGCGATCGCCGATGTCGACCCAACGGCCTACGATCTGATCTTCCTGCCCGGCGGACACGGTACGATGTGGGACTTCGCCCAGAGCGCTCGGCTTGGGGCGGTCGTTGCCCAGGCCTACGAGGCCGGCGCCGTGGTGGGCGCCGTCTGTCACGGCCCCGCCGGACTGGTCGGCGCCCGGCTGTCGGACGGTAGACCACTGGTCGCGGGCAAGCGCGTCAACAGCTTCACCGACGCGGAGGAAGAGGCGGTCGGGTTGACCAAGGTCGTGCCCTTCCTGCTGGAAAGCAGACTTCGCGAGCTTGGCGGACTCTTCGAGGGCAACGCCGAGAATTTTCAGGCACACGCCGTTCGCGACGAACGGCTGGTCACGGGGCAGAACCCGCAGTCGTCCGAGCGGGTGGCAAGCTTGCTTCTGCAGGCTCTCGCGGAGGGGCGGGCCGCCGCCTGAGCCCGCCGAACCGTGGAGCTTCTGGGCCGATAGCCGGGGAAGCGCCGCGCTTGGCCGTGCAGCGTTTCCCCGGATTTTTTGTCGGACGCCCTGAAGCGCCTCCTTTCGCTCCGGGTCGTTCGGCGTTTCGGAGAAGACGATCGATCTGCGGCCGTGTCCGGACAGGCTGTTGCAATTTGGCAAGAATCATACTATTTTCTGCCAAACTGCAGAGAGCATTTTATGCCGGAACTCCGCCTCATCGACCCCAGCCGGGCCAGACCCGAGACGCCGGAGATCACCGATGCCGAGGCGGCGGCCATGGCGCGCGCGGTGCCCAACCTCTTCAAGCGCTGGGGCGTCACCGACAGTCAGGCCTGCACGCTGCTCGGCGGCATCTCGGCGCGGACCTGGGCGCGTTGGAAGCTGGGCGCTAGCGGCCGGCTGCCGCGCGACCTGCGGGCCCGCCTCGCCAACCTGATGGGCATCCACAAGGCCTTGCGCCTGATCTTCCGCGAGCCGGAGCGCGGGTACGACTGGGTCGCGGCCCCCAACGCCGTCTTCGGCGGTCGTTCGGCCCTGGAGGTTATGCTGGGCGGTGAGCTGACGGATCTGATGCGGGTGCGGCACTATCTGGACGCGGAGCGCGGCGTCTGGTGAGGCCGGAGGCCCCACCCGTCACACCGCCCGTCACGCTAGTCGGCTGGGCGAAAACCCATCGCATCATCCGCTCCCGCTTTCCGCCGATCGACCTGTTCGAGGACATCGCCGACCCCGCCGACTGGGACGCTATCGCCAGCGCCGAGAGCAAGACCAATCCGCGCGTGGCGGAGTCGATCGGCCTGCTGGACCTGGTGCCGCCGGCGCGGCGCGTGTCCGGCGAGGGCGCGACCTGGCTGATGGCCCCCTTCGTCCACGTCTCGCGGGATCGCCGCAGCCGCTTCTCCGACGGCAGCTACGGTGTCTACTACGCCGGCGACCGCTTCGAGGTCGCCTTGTTCGAGACGATCCACCATCACGGCCGCTTCATGGCCGCGACCGATCAGGCGCCGGGCTGGGCCTCGGACTTTCGCGAGCTGGTGGGGGCGATCGACCGCGACCTCCACGATCTTCGGGATCGCACCATCTGGTCCGACTGCCTGGACCCGGACGACTACAGCCCGTCGCAGGCCTTGGCCGCCCGGCTGCGCGGCGCGGGCTCCAACGGTCTCGTCTACCCCAGTGTCCGCTACCCGGAGGGCGACTGTGTCGCCGTCTTCTGGCCCGACCTGATTCCGATCCCCTTGCAAGCCCGACATCTCGGCTATCATTGGGACGGCAGCCGCGTCGACCGGATTCGCGATCTGGGCAGCGGCGAGGTCTTCGCGGTCGAGGGCTAGCCGCTTGCTCCATGCAGGCAGCGTCTCCCACGCAGACCGTCTCCAGAGATCAGGAACCGAGAGATGACGACGGGCCATATCTTCATTGCGACCAGTCTCGACGGCTTCGTCGCGCGGCAGGACTATCGGCTCGACTGGCTGATGAAGCAGAAAACGGAGGGCGAGGATCACGGCTATGACGCTTTCCTGAAGAGCGTCGACGGCATCGTCATGGGCAGCGGCTCCTACAAGACCGTCCTGGCGTTCGGCGAATGGCCCTACGCAAAACCGGTTGTGGTGATGAGCCGCTCCCTGTCTCAAGCAGATGTTCCGGCGGAGCTGACGGACCGGGTGAGAGTCACCAAGCTCGCGCCGCCGGATCTCATGCGGGAGCTGCAGGCCCAAGGGTGGGATCGCGCCTACATCGACGGCGGGCAGGTGGTACAGTCCTTTCTGCGGGCCAATTTGATTCAGGACTTGATCGTCACCCTCGTGCCGATCCTGATCGGCGAAGGGCGCCGTCTGTTCGGCACCGTCGCCGGCGACATCGATCTGGAACTTCTCGGCGCCACGTCCTTTCCGTCAGGCTTGCTGCAGACCCGCTACAGGGTCGCCGAACGCTCCTGAGGTCCGTTCAGCCTGTCCGCCCTCTGCCGGTTTGACTAAAGCCGCGAGGTCGTCGCCGTTGCCGCAGCGGCAAACCAGTCGCCAAGTTGCCGGAAGGAAGCCTCCCAGCCGCCCCCGACGCCCTTGCGCGCGTCCTGCCGCGAGATGCCCTCGTGGCGCAGATGGACACGGGTGCTCGCGCCTTCGGCCCGGAAGGTGACGGTGACGGTGGAGGGCGGCGTCTCCTCGCGGCGCCCGTCGGCGTATTCGCGCAGGTGACACCAGGTAAAGCGAAGACGCTTCTCGGCTTCGACGACGCTGTAGGTTCCCTGAAGGCTGGCTCGACCATCGTCCTCCTCGGCCATTACGAAGCGCCAGTGGCCGCCGACCCGCAAGTCGACCGTGGCCGAGACCAGAGACCCGGCCTTGAGGCCGAACCACTTCACGATCTGCTCGGGGTCCGTCCAGGCCCGATAGACCCTGGCCAAGGGGGCCCGGAAGAGACCTTCGACCACGATGGGATCGTCCCCCACGTCACTTCGCAGAAAGTGCATCGTCACGGTTCCTCACGTAAGTAGCGGGCGAGCGCGTCGAGTTGACCGACCCAGAACTTGCGATAGTCGTCCAGCCAGTCCGACGCGGCCTTCATCGGCTCGGCCTCCAGCCGGCAGTAGCGGGTCCGGCCGCGTTTGCTGATGATGACCAGTCCGGCCTCATCGAGAACCCGGACATGTTTGGAAACGGCGGTCAGCGACATGTCGAAAGGCTCGGCCAGATCGGAGAGCGCCGTTTCCCCGGTTGCGAGCTGCGCGACGATGGCTCGCCGCGTCGGATCGCTGAGGGCGGCAAAGGTTCGGTCGAGGTCGGGCATGGCAGGCCTTGTCAAAAGTGAACTATATGGTTGACTGATTGATCGGGGTGGTTTAGTCAACCATATAGTTCATTAAGCATCCAGAATCGATGTCACGGAGGCGACGGTCCATGAAGCTCTATGATGCGATGACCCCGAATTCCCTGCGGGTGCATGTCTTTCTTTCGGAGAAGGGCATCCAGGTTCCGAGACAGCAAGTCGATGTCCTGAAAGGCGGTACGCGGACGCCCGCCTTCCTGGCCCTGAACTCCCTGGGCGAGCTTCCGGTGCTCGAACTCGACGACGGAAAAATCCTGACTGAAAGCGTCGCGATCTGCCGCTACTTCGAAGCCCTGCATCCCGCGCCGAGACTGTTGGGCGAGGGCGCCTACGAACAAGCCCGGGTCGAGATGTGGAACCGGCGCATGGAGCTGTATCTCTTCGACGCCATCGGTGCCGTCGCGCAACACAGCTTCGATTTCTTCGCCGACAAGGTCGAGCAGAGCCCGGACTATGCCGCCGCGCAGATGCGCCGTTTCGACAAGCTCCTGGCCTGGCTCGACCGCGAGTTGTCCGACGGACGGCCCTTCATTGCCGGAGAGCGTTTCACGATTGCGGACATCACCGGCATGGCCGTGCTGATGGTCTGCGATCTTCTGCCGAAGAGACTGCCAAGCAGTCTGAGCCATGTGAAACGTTGGGAAGACAGCGTGCGGATACGGCCGGCTTTCGCGGAGCGTGTGCGCAGCGCGGCCTAAGGCCGAGGAGGTGTCCAAGTTGCCGGCCCCGCCGCCGAGGGGGCGATCTCCCGTTCCGGCGGTTCTAAAATAACTTTACACTACTGGACCAAGAAATTGGAAGTATATCTGTGGCAATAGTCGGGGGTGATTTGGCTTCTTCATAAAATATATACGCTATGCTCCCTAGGCTTTCTCGGACGTTTGAAGTGTTTGCGTACGGGAATAGCAGTGAATGCTGTGGGCTGGCGACGTTCATGCCTCGCCGGAGGGCACCGGCGCCTGTGTGGCGCCGAAGATCCTGGTGATCGACGACGATGAGGTCGATCGCCTGCACAGCAAGCGTATGCTGACCGAGATCTTCGGATCGAAACTGCGGCTGGACTTCGCGACCACGTGGGACGACGCGGTCCAGGCCGTCGCGTCCGATCGGCACGATATCTATCTGGTCGACTATCTTCTCGGTCCCGGCACGGGGCTCGACATCATCGAGACGGCTCCGCAAACGGACCGGCATCGCGTCTTCATTCTGCTGACGGGTCAGGAGAACCGGGATGTCGATCTCGCCGCGACGCGCGTCGGCGTCGCGGACTTCCTGATCAAGACCGATCTGAACGCGGAGCGGCTGGAGCGTTCGCTCCGCTATGCCAACGAGTCGATGCGGCAGAAGCGTTTGCTGATCGAACAGACGGATGAGCTTCGCAAGGCCAAGACCGCCGTCGAAGAGCAGGTGCGCAAGCAGCGCAGGCTGACCCGCGAACTGACGCAGGCCAAGAGTCAGCTGACGGAGACGCTGTCGCGCGCGGAGACGAGCGAACAGCGCTATCGGTGGTTGGCCCAACACGACATGCTGACCCAGATCCCCAATCGAACGCTGTTCGGCGAAAAGCTCCGGGAAAGCCTGGAGCAGACCTCCAGGACGGGCAGGGGCCTGGCCCTGCTGCTGCTCGATCTGGACCGCTTCAAGTGGGTCAACGATAGCCTGGGTCACCAGGCAGGCGATGAACTGTTGATCCAGGTCGCGCAGCGGCTCGTGGCGACCGTGCGGGAAACCGATGTCGTCGCGCGGATCGGCGGGGACGAGTTCGCGGTCCTGGCGACCAACGTCGACGACCAGCAATGCGCGGCTCTGGTAGCGGAGAAGCTCATCGCCGCCTTGGCCCAACCCTTCGATATCTTAGGGCATTGCTTCGAGAGCAGCGCGAGCATCGGTGTCGTTCTGATGACGGCAGAGGATCGCAAGGATCCGACAGTGGCGATCCAGGAGGTCGATTCCGCACTCTACCGGGCGAAAGCGGCTGGACGTGGCGTCTTTCGCTTTTACGACGAGGCCCTGGACAGTGAGGTCCAGAGGACGCTGCTGATCAAGCGGGAATTGCCTCAGGCGATCGTCGCGGGAGACCTGGCCTTGGCGTACCAGCCAAAGGTGAACCTCGCCAGTAGCGCGGTCACCGGTCTAGAGGCGCTGGTCCGTTGGACACATCCGGTGCACGGCGTGATCTCGCCGGACGAGTTCGTTCCAATGGCCGAGTCGACCGGACAGATCATCCAGCTGTCGAGCTGGATCTTCGATCACGCGCTGGAGACGGTGGCGAACTGGAAGGGGACGGTGCTCGAGGGGATGCCGCTGGCGCTCAACCTCTCCGCCGTTCAGCTCAAGCAGGGAAATCTGGTCGGCGACATTCAGGAAAGGCTTCGCTTCTTCGGCCTGAGCCCATTGCTCCTGGGACTCGAAATCACCGAGACGGCCGCCCTGGAGAACCTGGAGCTGGCCACCCATCAACTGAACAAGCTGCGCAGCCTGGGTATCTCCATTGCGATCGACGACTTCGGGACGGGCTACTCTTCCCTGGCGCTGGCAACATCGCTACCGGCCGACTATCTCAAGATCGATCGCTCGTTCGTCTCTGGGATGCTGACGAATCGCGCAGACGCGGCGGCCGTCAGCTCGACCGTGACGCTGGCCAAGAGTCTCGGGATCTCCACGATCGCCGAAGGTGTCGAGACAGAGGCACAGCGCCGCCACCTGGAAAAACTCAACTGCGACGAGGCGCAGGGCTATCTCTTCGCGAAACCTCGGTCGCGGGATGAAATCCTGCAGTGGTACGAGTCGCGACGAAACAAGCTGCTCTCGGTCGCCTAGAGCGAGTCCACCTCAGGTGCGGTGCCCCCTCTGAGAGACCGCTCCACCTGTTCGGGAGCCGGTTGTGAGCCGATGGGCGCGCCCTACGGCAGCTCCACGACGCGCCAGTAGTGGTCGATCATGTCCATTGCCTGGGTGAAGGTTTCCATGGCGTTTCGCTTCACGACGTAGCCCGTCACATTGCGTTCGTAGGCCGAAACTCGGTCGCGGTCGTGCTGGGAGGTGGTCATGACGAAGACCACCGCCGACTTCAGGTCGGGATCGTTGCGAAGGGTATCCAGAAACTCGATCCCATTCATCTTGGGCATGTTGAGGTCGAGCAGAATGATGAAGGGTCTCGGCAGCCTTTCGAAACCGTCCCTGCCCCTTAGGATCGACAGCCCCTCAAGGCCGTTCTGAGCGACGACGACGGGATTGGAGATCTTGAGATCCCGGAAGGCGCGCTTGATGCAAAGCACGTCAACCTCGTCGTCTTCGACCAGTAGAAAGGTGACATCCCGGCGGGGGATCATGATGCCAGATCCCTTGCGGCAGAGCGTGGGGCGGCCAGCCGTAGATCGGTTGCAGGGCAAGCTTCGGTCACGATCAGGCGGCCCTTTCGGCGCTGTCCCAGTGCTTGGGCCAGGTAAAGCGGAAGACGGTGCCCCGGGCGGTGCGGGGGTCCGATAGGATTTCGATGCCGCCGCCCGCCGACTCCACGAGCTTCCGGACGATAGCGAGGCCCATTCCGCTGCCCTCGACTTCGTCCCGGCTCTTAAGGGCCTGGAACATTGCGAAGATCTTCTCGTGGAACTCCGCAGCGATGCCGGGGCCGTCGTCGCGAACCAGGAACTCGTAGAAACGGCCTCGGTTCAGCGCCGTGATCTCCAGGCAACCGCTCTCCAGGTCGTGGTGCTTGATCGCGTTGCCGATCAAGTTGAGGAAAACCTGCTCCAGAGGGACGGGAGCCGTCACCAGCTGCGGAAGCGGCTTCGGGATCTCCAGGCGGAAGCCATCGGGTGCGGCCGACATCTTGAAGAGATCCGGAAGCACGCTGTTGAGGTCGACCTGCTGGACCTCCGCGTCGTCTCGTCCGGCCCTGGAATACTGCAGGAGATCGTCCAACAGCCGTGCCATCCGCTCCGTTCTGCCCTGCAGGAGCGTCAGATGCTGTTTCGTCTCCTCCGACATGACGTCGGCGGCGTCGTGCTCGATCCAGGTGGCCAGGTTGGCGATGCCGCGCAGCGGCGCCTTCAGGTCGTGCGACGCCACGTAGGCGAACTGCTCGAGCTCCGCGTTGGACCGCCGCAGCTCTCCCGCGTTGGCCCTGAAGACTTCGAGGGCCTTGGCCATATCGCCAAGTTCGTCATCGCCCGCGACGTCGATAACCACACCGAGCTCGCCCTGCGCGAGATCGTGCGTGATGTCGGCGAGGCGAACCAGACGCTGCACCACATCCTTGAGCACGAAGCGCCAACTGACGTAGACCGCCGCAGCCAGCGCGGCGGCGGCGATCACCGCGAGAACGATCCGTCCAAGTGTGACGGCTGCGCGGGCTTCCGCCGACGAGGCCTCGATCAGCGTTCCGACTTTCGAGACGAGCAGGTTGGCCTTGCCCTGCAGGCGTTCGGCACGCGCAAAGTTCTCCGCGCTGAGCTGAGAGAGCCGATGGCGGATCTCGATCAGGTCGGTCTGGAGTGCGAAGAGACTGTCCGGGCCATGCATTGACGCCAAGAGCGGCTGCAGGGACCGTGCCGTTTCCTCCTGCAGAGCGGCGTCTTGCAGTTCGACGGCGGACCTGGCCAGGCCGCGAAGGTCAAGCTCGAGCCTGTTCTGGATCGCCGCCACTTCCTCCGCGCGGCCGACCAGGATGAGTTCGTTGATGTATCTGATCATGTTCTCGGAAAGAAAGCGCATTTCGGTCAACTGCTTGACCTGGTCGTAGTCCCGGTCGACGAGCTCGGCGAAGGTCTCTCGTGTCTGCGGAGCAATGGAGCCGGACTGGGATAGAGCTTCGCGGAGATCGTTGGTCTTCGTCAGCAGCTTCGCCGAGGCCGCTACGAGACGGGGCTTGACCGCTTCGATCAGCCGCTCGACATCCTGCTTCGAGCGTTCGGACGCCACGGCGAGCCGATCGCTCAAGCGGTTGCGCGCGGCGACCAGCGCAACCTGCTGCTGCAGAGTCGTGAAGACGGTGTCGAAGTCGTCCTCGATCTTTTGCAACAGATCCTCCGCCGCGCCACTTCTACGAATCTGTCCCAGTGTCTCCCGGAACTCCCGGTCGACCGATCCGATCCGTGTCGTCTCGCGGTCCAGATCCGTGCGCTCTTCCGCCGCGATCAAGGTCGGCGTCGCTGCGACGACCAGCAAGACCTGAGACACCAGCCTTTCGGTGCCGAGCGCGGCGGGCAGGGCGCGATCCAGTACCTCGTTCTGGGTTCGCTCGATAACCTGGTAGCTGCCGATCGCCACGACAGCGGCCAAAAGCGAGAAGAGCGATACGCCGACGAAGGCGTTTCTCAGCTTGGTCCCGATCCTGCCGCCCTCGGCGGTTCGAAAGACTGCGGCGACTTCGGTTGAAAGAGGCATCTAGAGGCTTTCGTAGGGCGAACTGGCCTAGAGAGTGCATCGGATTTGATTAGTATTCCCTGAACCACGTTGGCGATCCGCCGCTGAGGCGTCGGTCGCTCCGCCTCAGCATGGGCTTGGCTTTGGAATCGCTTCAGCGATCTCACCTCCGGTGCGACTCGTCCTCTCCTCACCGGGTGAGACTGCGATTCCCCGTTTGATGGACGCCAACCTGCTTGCATCGAACAGGGCCGCGCCCCAAACGGGAATCGAGCAGCCGTCGCGCTACCCTTCCAGGAAAGGCTGGTGCCGAGCCGTTGACGCCGGCAGACCCGAACCGCATCATTTGAATCCCTGTAGAAAACAGGGACTTGCCTTCCGTGCCGGCTTGGCGTTTTGTCGCGCCGCCATGAACGATCGACCTTCCCCGTCCCGCAGGCCGTCTTCGCGCAGCTCGTCGCTGCGGCGACTCGGCGGCTGGGTCGTCGCGCGCCTGTCGAACCTTCACTGGGTCGACGAGCGGCTGGCCCGTTCCGCCCAGTTGTACGGCCGTCACACGGCCCTGATACTGGATCTCTACGGTTTCCGCACGGTGATCAATCTGCGGGGGGAGAACCTGGAGACCACCTGGTATGCCGACGAGGCGGAGGCCTGTCGCGCGCTGGGTGTCGCCTTCCTGGACGTACCGATCAATTCGCGCCGGATCCCGCGCCGCGCGGAACTGCTGGCTCTGGTGCAGGCCTTCGATGCGCTGGAGGCGCCGGCGCTGATCAAGTGCGCGGGCGGCGCGGACCGCACGGGACTGGCCTGCTTTCTCTATCTGATCGACCGCAGGGGACCCGGGCATTTTCCGGCGGCCCGGCGGCATCTGACAGCCTGGCCCTACCTGCATATCCCCAAACTGCAGCAGCGCTGGCTGCGGCAGCTCCTGATCTACTGGCAAACCCATCGGGGTCCGGAGATGCCGCTGCGCTGCTGGCTGGCCGAGATCTACGATCCGCAGCACTTCGCCGGCTGGCTGGATGCACGGGGCCTGCGCGGCACCTACCGCAGTGTCTGAAGACGCGGGGCCCTGCCGGTCGCGTCCCTTGATCGGGATGCGCTGAGTCCATGGAGCCCTGGATTTTCTGGACCCTTGGCGGGGCCTTCTTTCAGAATCTGCGCTCGGCGCTGCAGAAGCGGCTGAAAGGCGATTTGGGCACTTTGGGCTCCGCCTTTGCACGTTTCGTCTATGCCTTTCCCCTGGCCGTCGCCTATCTGCTGGTGACGGCCGAACTGGCGGGAACGCCCGTGCCCGGCATCCATGGCGCCTTCCTGGTCTACGCGCTGCTCGGCGGTACTGCGCAGATCCTTGCCACGGTCTGCCTGATCGAGGCCTTCGGTTACCGGAACTTCGCGGTCGCCACGGCCTATTCGAAGACCGAGACGGTCCAGGCCGCCGTGTTCGGCCTGATCCTGCTGGGCGATGCACTGAGTCCCCTGGCGGCACTGGGCATCGCGATCTCGCTGGCGGGCGTCGTCGCAATCTCTCTGAAACGCCAGAAGGCCGGTTGGCGACAGCTTCTCACAGGTTGGCTGCAGCCGGCGGCGCTCTTGGGGATCGCCTCGGGTGCCGGCTTCGCGCTCTCCGCCGTCTGCTACCGTGCGGCCAGTCTGTCGCTGGAGCCGGTGGGTGCCGGCCTGCAGGCGGCGACGACGCTGGCCTGGGTGCTGGGGTTGCAGACCCTCGCCATGGGGGCCTGGCTGGCCTGGCGGCGGCCGGCGCAGCTTCGGGCGGTCTTCGCGAGCTGGCGGACCTCCGGCTGGATCGGGGCGGCGGGCATGGCGGCCTCGGCCGGCTGGTTCACCGCGATGACGCTCGAGAACGCCGCGCATGTGCGCGCCCTCGGTCAGGTCGAACTGGTCTTCACGCTGGCGGCCTCCTGGCTGTTTTTCAAGGAACGCTCGACCGCCGTCGAACTGCTGGGGATCTCCGCCGTGGTGGCGGGCATCGTTATCCTGCTGCTGGGGACGGCGTAGGTCGCAACGGCACGGTCTCAGGGCGAGCCTACACCTGGAAGAGGCTGTATCCGAATCGGGGCTGGATCGGGGTCGGCTCAGGGCTTGGAGCCTGAGTGTGAAGAGACGCACAGCGAATCCCGATCACTCCATGCCAAGCCCTTTTGTACCATATTAATGGAAAGACGTCATAAAAGACGCCAAACTCGGCTTAGGGAGACAGGATGAGACCCCTGACCATCGGATTTATCGTCGCCGTGGCCGTCGCCGCCGGCATTGCGCTGGCGGTGCAGAAGTGGAGTCCTGCCGGCGGCTGTTCCCGCGAGCCCGGAGCCGGCGTCGATTGGAGCGGCTGCAACCGCCAGGCGCTCGACCTGAGGAATGAAGGCCTCAGCGGCATGATCTTCATTGGGGCCGACATCGCCCGCTCCGCGCTCGCGGGTGCGGATCTGAGAAAGGCGGACTTCACGCGAGCCCGGCTGGACCGCGTGGTCTTCGACGGAGCCGACCTGCGAGAGGCGCTGTTCGACCGGGCCGAGGGGCCGCGGGCCAGTTTCCGAAACGCCGATCTTGCCGGCGCCGATCTCAGCAAGGCGATTCTGCCGCGCGGCGACTTTGCGGGCGCCGTCCTCTCGGAGGTCAAGCTCGCCAAGGCGGACCTGCAACGCAGCGATCTGCAGCAAGCGAACCTTGAGGGCGCGGACCTCAGCGAAACGATGCTGGCGCGCGCGGATCTGCGCGACGCGCGCCTGGGCGGCGCCGACCTGGCGAAGGCCTATCTGATGATGGCCGATCTGCGGGGGCTTGATCTCTCGGCCACCGAGGGACTCACGACGGCACAGCTGGCCGAGGCCTGCGGCGATGCCGACACCCGGCTACCGTCCGACGTGGTGCGCCCGGATACCTGGCCTTGCCTCTCTCTGGAAGAGGAGGGGGATGGCGAGAGCTGAGTCGTCTCCCGCTGCCGCTCCGACCCGAAGGCCGGAGCGGCCCCCCGGTCTAGAAGGTAAAGAGCTTGAAGGCCGGGTCGGCCATCTTGGCTGCGACCATCGGCGGTTTGGCGACGCCGACGCCCGGCATCAGCGCGTCGGCCTGCAGCGTCCGGTTCGGCAGGTAGATGGCGCAGACCTCCACCGTCGCGCCCTTGGCCATCAGGGCCTCCAGCAGGCTGCGCACCGTCATGCCGGTCGGCGTGATGGTCTCGGTCGCGGCCTCGGGAGGGGTCGCCAGGGCGACATCGCCGGCCGGCCCGCAGAGCAGAAGGTCGACCCGACGCCCTTTTCCGGCAACCTGATTCGACAGCACCAGAGCCATCGCCTGGGTCTCGCTGTCCGCCGCGGTTATCACCGTCAGCAGGTGCATCGGCGGTTCGTCGTCCTCGCTGGCCTTGGCACCTTGCGGCGCAGAGATCGTCAGGGCGAGAAGCAGGGCGGCCAGCAGCGGTTTAGCCAAGCTGGGAAGCAGTCGGCGGCGGGGCAGCGTGAAAGGCATGGCGGCAGTCTCCTGAAATGCATCCGGCGGGCCGGTGGCCCGAGGTCGCGGGAAGTTGACTTCGCCGTGCCGCCGGCACGTTGATCCGGATCAATTACATTCAAAATGTCGCATGTGTTCGTGTCTGGTCCAGGCGCGGCCGCTTCGGCACACTGCCGATCCATCATGGATTCTTTTGTATTTGGAGGCTGTTCCCCGTGTCCGTCGCATCGCGTACCAACCTCGCCGTCAATGGCCCGCGCTTCTGGGAAACCATCGAGACTTCGGCCGCCATCGGCACCGGGCCGGAAGGCGGTCTGAGGCGCCTGGCGCTGGGCGACGCCGACCGGGAGATGCGCGACCGCTTTGCCGCCTGGTGCCGGGAGGCCGGCTACGCTGTTTCGGTCGACCGGCTGGGCAATCTGTTCGCGCGTCGGGCCGGAACGGACGACAGCCTGCCCCCCGTTCTGATCGGCAGCCATCTGGATACCCAGGCCGCCGGCGGCCGCTTTGACGGCATCGTTGGCGTGCTGGGCGGACTGGAGGTGCTGCGCAGTCTGGACGATCTGGAGATCGAGACCCGGCGACCGGTCGAGGTGGTCAACTGGACCAACGAGGAGGGTGCGCGCTTTACCCCGCCGATGCTCTCCTCCGCCGTTTTCGCCGGCCTGCGCGAGCTGGACTGGGCCCTGGCGCGCGAAGACGATACCGGCGTCACCGTCGGGGCGGAACTGGATCGCATCGGCTACGCCGGCCCGGCGCCGGTCGGCGGGCGCGCGCTGGACAGCTACTTCGAGATCCACATTGAGCAGGGGCCTCGCCTGGAAGCCGAAGGGTTCCGGGTCGGCCTCGTTACCGGCGCCTACGTCGCACGCGGCATGATCCTGAAGATCGAGGGGGAGAACGCGCACTCGGGTCCGACGGCCATGCATCTGCGCCAGAACGCCATCGTCGGCGCGGCCATGATGGCGGTCGCAGTCAACGAGGTCGGGTGGCGCTATTCCTGGTGCGACGGCAAGTCCACGGTGGCGCGGCTGGAGGCCTGGCCGAACAAGCCGGGCATTCTGTCCGACGAAGCGCGGCTGTTCGTCGATTTCCGAAGCCCCGATGCGGACACCACGGCCCGGATGGAGGCGGAGATCCGGGCCGCTCTGCCGGATGCCGAACGGCGCAGCCAGTGCCGGATCGAGGTTGCGGAAGACTGGACCTTCGGCGATCTCGCCTTCGACGAGGGCTTGCTCGACCTGGTCCGCGCCACCGCCGGGCGCCTGGAGGTTCCGCTGCTGGAACTGCCGAGTCAGGCAGGCCACGACGCCTACAATCTGTCCAAGCTTTGCCCAACGGTGTTGATCTTCACGCCCTGCGCCGGCGGGATCACGCACAACGAAAAAGAAGACACGACGTTGGAAGATCAACTTCCCGGTTTGAACGTCCTGCTAAATTCCGTGGTTGAACGCGCGGCCCGTTAACTGCAGTCGAGGGGCCGGCATTTCTATTCGCGACCAAGGGGAATTCTACCGCAATTAAGCATTCTGCAAGAGATTCGGTGCAGAAGTACGGCGGTGGACATACAGATATAACGGTTGCGGAGTACCCTCGATGAGGTTCAACCCCCTGGCACGCCTGCGTCTGACCTCACGGACGACGCTGCTGACCATCAGCCTGATCGCCTTCTCGATCGCGGCGGTGAGCGCCGTCACGATCTTCCAGCTCAACCGGGAGATCGAGCGGCAGGTTATCGAGCGGCAGGCGGCGAGCCTGCGCATCGCCGCGATGATCATGGAGCAGAACTACAGCTCCTTCGAGGCGGAGTACGACAACTCCGGCGAGGTGGTGAAGCTGACCATGCGGGAGATCCCCGAGTTTCTGCATCATCTGGTGATCGATCAGATCGGTCAGATGACCGGCGAGACGGCGACGCTCTTCGCCTTTCAGCCGGAGGACGGGGACTTCTGGCGGCGCACCACCAACATCATCAAGCCGGACGGCCAGCGCGCCGTCGGGACGCCGTTGGGCAAGACCGGGGCAGTGCATGCCGCGATCATGCGGGGCGAAACCTTCCTGGGCGAGGCGAACATCCTGGGCCAGGACTACTACACCATCTACAAGCCGATCTTCAGCCCGGACGACCGGGTCATCGGCATTCTCTATGCCGGCGTTCTGAAGTCGGACATCGCCGCGGTGCTGAACAAGATGACGCTGGGCCTGGCCGGCGCGGCGGCCGTTCTGCTGCTGATCTCCGCCGCGGCGGCCTGGGGCCTGTTCCATCTGATGCTCCGCCCGATCCCGAGGCTCGCCGGCGTGATGCAACGCATGTCGCAGAACCAGGCGGTCGAGGTTCCCTACCAGGACAAGCAGGACGAACTGGGCGAGATGGCCCGTACACTCGAGGTTTTCCGCGCCGGTCTGGAGGAGAACGAGAAACTCCGCGCCGAGCAGCTGCAGGCCGAGCGCCGCGCGGAAGAGGAGAAGCAGGCGGCCCTTCGGAACCTCGCGGAACAGTTCGAAACGGATGTCGGCCGCATCGTCGAGGCCGTTCGCCAGGGCAGTGCCGCGTTGAACCGGGAGGCAGGCAGCGTCTCCAGCCTGGTCGAGCAGACCGAGGGCACCTCGGCCCGCGTCGCCGGCTCCACCCAGGAGGCCTCCAACGCCGTGCAGTCGGTGGCCAGCGCCGCCGAGGAGCTGTC